TCCGTACTTCGATAGTCACTTTTAAGATTAATGTACAAAATTCCAACAAAATAAATTAATGCCACAAAAAAATAAACTTTAAAAATTGCAAGTTAGTGTCATAATAATATCGGCATCTTGTCACACAAAATAATGATGTCCAGTCGGTCAATGTTCTATTTCGTTTCTGCTTTGACTTATATGAGGAGCAATTACATTGACTTCCTCTTTAATTAAGTGAAATTACAAAAACCTCTCCCTTGTATTTTAAAATTACAATTGACATTCTCTGTTAAACTATTTGGTGGACGGCATTAACGGAAAATTTGATTGTACCAATTTGGCTTCACGTTTAAAAATAAATTTTACTTGTATTTACACATATTTTAAATGGCATTGTACTGAAATAGTTTGCTAATACAAGCAACTTTTAATATTAATCAACTTTGAATCCTTGATAAGTAATGCAAGAAAAAAGTGTCTATTATAAAGTGTTATAGGGATGACAATGGTATCCCCCGTTAATCAATGAGAGTCTCGTATTTGACACGGATTGAGTTCTTAAATTCCATTACCATTTAGTTGGGAGAAAGTGTCATATATATATATATATATATATATATATTTGTTGTTGTCCACTGAGCTCATTAATTATAAGGATAACAAAATATAGAGGGGGAGGGGGGATAAAAAAAAAAATAAATACTAGTGTGTCCCGTGATCACTCATGCATTGTGCCCTGTTCATTTTTATATTTATATGCATTATGAATGCAATATATCACTGTGACACTGTCTCTTAGCACAAAAATAACTGCACTCATATGAAAGTGACAAAATGGGATAAAGTTAGGCAAGTTGGAACTCACCACACACATGACAAATAAAACTTGCCACATATAAAGAAAAAAACTTTATATATATATATATATATATACAAGTTGACTTTTTCTTTTTGTTAGCAGTACTACTTAGATACAAATATATATATATATACATATATATATATATATATATATATAATATGCATATATTTTTTGTTTTGTACTTCTATATAAACAGCATCCCCACATACTTTTTCTCAAACCCATCACCAACCAATTAACCTCAGCTCAGCTCACCTCTTCTCCAATCTGCTTTCAGATCTATACCATCATCATCTCACCATGAAAATGAAACTCAGGGCTTACCTTCCTTTGCTGCTTGTACTGTTTCTGGTTTTCTCCTTTGTTGTGTCCTCTGCTGCCGTTCCTACCTCAAGTAAGCCTCCAACAATGGATCCAATGTAGTATTCCATCTTTTTAGTTTTCTATATAAATCACTGCTTTCATTTTAAATGATTTCTCATCTATTAATTTCTATGATTAATAGGAAGCCTCAAGTCCATTAAGGAACACACATCAGTCCAAGATTTACTTGCTCAGGTTCTCTCACTCTCTCTCTCTCTCTCTGTGTGGGTGTGTGGGTGTGTGTTAAACCTTGTGAACTTACATAATTATGGATGTCATACTTGTTTCTAAACAATAATCTACCAACCGCTAGTCACTTTAGACTATAATCATTTAACCTTCTGGGTTCTTTTTTTCTAGGTAGAGAAGAAGGATTCTTTGTGTAGTTCCATTTTTTCTCCTTATTTTAACTTAATTTTCAAATTTTACTTATATACTGTATGCATGACTCTATGAAATGACATGCATGATTATGGATATATACCCTTTTTTTCTAGATCGAAAACAAGGGTTCTTTGTGTAATTCTTTTAATTTTTGTTTTTTCTTCTCTTTTAGTCTTTCTTCATTAAATTTTCCCATAATTGTATTTTGGATAAAATCTATAATTTCAGTACCTTATTATAATAATTTGAATTTTTTGTTCTGTTGTGACTTTGTAGGATGCAATGGATATGGGAAGTGATGGAGAGGTGTTAGAGGAAGGGTTCATGGAGGGGAGGATGCTTATGGAAAGCACAGACTACCCAGGAACAGGAGCAAACAACCACCATGACCCAAAAGCTCCTGGCAGAGTTTAATTTCATATATCAAATTTATACTTATATTTATATAATATATATATGTGTGTGTGTGTGTGTGTGTGTGTGTGTATATCAAGTATCAACAAGTTCAAAAGAGAGTTTTAGTTATATGATCTTTGGTGTTGTAGTGTGTCCTTCCTTGTTAGGATGAACCTTGTATTAGTACTAGTACATGTTATAAAAGTTGTTTTCAGTACTGTCTACACACTATGTATAAATCTAACATGATTAAGACTTTATGGAGAAAAAGTTCACTTTCAGTTTGTGCAGGGAATATTGGTTGTGGGTACTTTTGGTGCGGACTTTGTTGCATTTGTAAAATTATTAAATGTGTTTGTGTTAATTATTATGTGTTTTATAGTGATGTTGAGATTTGTGAACAAAACAACTATTGGTTTTGAATTAATTGCTTTCTGAAAAGTTATATTTGAATAATTATACCCTACTATGATATTTCTTTACATGGCTCATGTGCTTAATCTATTGTAAATTTACAAGACAATAATTATGCATATAAATAAGTGATGTTATAGATTATAGTTTCATTATTACGTGTACAGTAGTTGTATCCTTGAGATTATTTAACTTCAATTATATAATATAATAAATAAAATATATAATTGTGTTCATAAGAATCTATCACCATCATTTACAATTATACATCCCTCAGTAACTGCCATAATCTAATGGCAAAAGTTCGGATAGTCAAATGAGCGAAGCAGGCTTAAAAATAAAAGCCATTCACTTTGTGTAAAATAATATTAAAATTAAAATTATATTTGGTTCAATTTTTCCTGTCAAATGTAAGAAAATTATTCAGGAAAAAAAAAAAAATAATACGGAGAGAGTTCCCCTGTTCATTCTAGGAAGAACGAAAATACCTTTGAAGTTGTTCATTCTTGAGTTGGCTGTGGAAACGAAAATTAAGTTTTCCCGCATTGACTAAATTTTTTGACATAAAAAATTCCAAAATTTATTGTGTTTTTTTGGGTAATGACAAAAATTTGTTTGTGGTTTTTTTAGGGTAATAACAAAAATTTGTTTGTTTTGTAACCTCATAATATGGGCAAAGCATTTTACAGATTTGGGTGCAAAAAAACAACAGGCTGCAAAACAGACCTAATGGATTCAACGTTTGCTAAGATGACCCATGCTATGTGTTGGACCAAATTCACGCTCAAATTTTGATACAAAAAGTTGAAAGTGGGCTTTTCCTTGCCTCAGTCTAAGTTCAAACAATTGAAAAAGCCCAAATGTATCTCTATTAGTGAATGGGACATTGTAAGTTGTAAGATTCATGGTTATATTGACTGCTAATGCGGGCCCAACTGAAGTTGTGGCCCAAATCTCATCTCAGGGTTTAAAAAAACTGAAGTTGGGCTATGTAATACTGGGTTGTGGTCAGGCTTGGCCCAAGCTAATGGGTGGTGTAATTTAAACACATTTTTTTGAATTTTTTTTATATTTTTAGTAGCTACTTCGGAGACAAATTTTATCCCATTGAAAATTCGAAACCTCAACCACCCATTTGGAATGAATACTTCTTGTCCTTTGGTGCTGAATTAATTAATTAGACACATCTTCTTGTCGTTTATATGCGACTCAAGAGTGTGATTTAATCCCTAGTGAGGAAATCAAGATACAACTTAACTATATATAACACACACATATACATGCTATCACTACTTCTCAATGTTGGGTGGTATAACCCGTCTCTTCTCTCTCTTTCAGAAGAGAGATTGAGAGTTCGAATTCCGTTAAGAATGTGTTGTGAGTATGTGTGTTAACTTTTTCAAAGTTGTTCAATACTTTTAGAAAAGTTTTGACAAATCCTCTAAAGATAATGTTCCCATTGGTCATTAATTTACCCTTCCCGTTCAGTTCGTTAATTTACTCTCTTCGTCAGATTATTAGTTCAGTTCATCTCTTAGTCGCTCATGTTATTCATACAAAGAACCTCCTATTTGATATTATGTTAGAGGTTCAATCAGATTGTAATTTTAATCTCTTGATCAAATTATTATCTTTACCAAAAAAATATATATATAAAAATAAAAAGGAACAAGTCCTTCCATTTGAATTGGCCAGCACTTCACTTAAGTGCGTGCGTGAGAGAGAGAGGGATTGAATGGCCCCATCATTTTTTACGTAACAATCAAGTTACTTTCATCATGGAGGACTAAGAGTCCGATTTAATCCTTGGTGAGGAATTCAAGATACAACTATATATAATACACATATATATGCTATCACTATTTCTCAATGTCAGGTGATATGATCTCTCTCTTCTCTTTCTTTCAAAGAGAGATCGAGAGTTCGAGTTCGTTAAAAACGTGTTGCGAGTATAAATGTATGTTAACTCTTTTATAGTTGTTGAATGATTTTAGAAGAATTTTGACGAAACCTCTAAAGATAATGAGGTCCTGATTCCATTGGTCATTAATTTACCCTCCTCGTTCAGTTCATTAATTTACTCTCCTCATGAGATTATCAGTTCAGTTCATTTCTTTACCGTTCATGTAATTCAAAACTTTCGTATTGATGAGAATATAAAGAACCTCTTGTCTTATGTAATGTTGGAGGTTCAATTAGACGGTAATTTGATTTCATGATCAAATTATTAGGTTGAATCATATTGTAATTTGATTTCTTGATCAAATTATTATCTTAAAAAAAATAAAAAAGAAGAAATAAGAAGAAGAAGGACAAAAATTTCTTCCGTTTGAATTGACTAGCACTTCACTTAATGTGTGTGTGAGAAAGAAATTGAATTGCTCCATCATATTTAACATAACAATCAAGCTAGTTCCATCATCGAGGACTAGACCACCATAAATAATTGGAGCTATGACCATAGATATATATACTTATTATGTACCACCTCGAGCTCTTGACTTTAAAAGAGGGCAATTTATATATACATTTTGCCACCATGACCAAGAAAAGAGCTGATCCAAAAATATTATAGTACCTCACCATGATCTAAAACCATTGTAGTAGGTATGCCATACCACTTTTTATATAAAGATACAATTTGTTATTCAATGCCCTCTCTTTATATTGCTGACGTCTATACTAGCAAACCCATCAATTATTAACCTCAATACTACTATATGTCTCCCTACAAACGCACATAAATATTAATAGAAATTTCTTCTTCACCAGAAACAAAAAAAAAAAGAAAAAAAAAGCTTAGGCTTTGCATACATTGATCATCATTGAAGAGAGCTTCCAAAAAATATGCAGTGACTTCTTTATGTTACTTGTACATGTTAATAATATCAAGAACAGGGTACAAAAAAGAGAATTTCCTCTTTTACCTATGAAATATGGAAGTTCTTTGTTATTTTAACCTCGGAGTCAATCCTGAAGTATTTGATCACTCAGATTTTCAATTAAATCAAAACCAAGGAAAAAAAGAAAAAAAGAAGATAAGATAGATGCTATTTTCAGTCATTTAAACAATGAACACAAAGGAGGAAGATCCCAAAAGGCTTCAATAGAATCTTGATCAACATGAGTACTTTCCATATACTCTTGCACTCCATTCATGGCGTAAAGTGATGCTGATATCTGTCTTTCAACTTTCATCCTTTCAAACTCTGAGAACTCCAACTGATCACATGCTTCTGCAGCAGCAGCAGGCAAAACAATATTCTTTGGCAACTCAAATATTTCTTGAGCACTCATGAACGGAAACCGATCAAACCCCTGTTGATCAAATCCCCACGAAGAACCCGAGTTGAATTCCTCAGTGCAGTTGCTCAAATCAGGTTTATATGCATCATCAAACAACTGTGTGTCTTCTACCTTCCCACTAGAGTGACACTCACCACTAGTACTACTAGAACTGCAACTTCTAGTAGTAGTAGTTATAATCGTAGTGCTAGTTTTGGGACTATTATCAATGGTGGCACTACTTGTGGGTGTGGGGGTACATGTATTAGGAGGACTAATTGGCTGTTTTGCACTTTTTTTGCTGTTGAGGAGGTTCTGAATCCGAGAAGCGAGAGGGGAGTTTGTTGATATGTGTGTGATGAAATTGGTGCGCGTGTTGGAGCCACGAAGAAGGCAAGCAGCTTCATCATAAGCGCGCGCAGCTTCTTCTGCGGTTTCGAAAGTTCCTAACCACATTCTTATCTTCTGTGTTGTGTCTTTGATCTCAGCTACCCATCTCCCTGAAGGCCTCTGCCTCACTCCGACAAACTTCTTGTTGCTGTTGCTTCTATTCCTCCCCTTGAACTTGCTCATTTTTGGCTGCTGTTGGAATTGAATCTCCATTTTTGTGGCGTCTAAAACAATGGGTTTGATTTGTTTTTAGAGAGAAAAGTAAAAAAAAGAAAAAAAAAAATAGGAAGGTTTTGTAGCTCTGAATCAAATGGTGGTAGTGGAAGGTTTGTTGCATACATGTATGTTTATATACGTGTGAAGGAGTGCTGAGTTTTCTATGACAAGTTGGGCTAACCTCAAATGTTACAAATATGTTTTGTGTTGTCTTTTGTGTTTGGTGTCTAATGATACACATTCTTTTTCTCTACATAGACAAATTATACATCAAAGATGGATGGATGACTTATTCGTCTATGCATTGCATGTCCTTTTCTAAATTTTATCAGAAGACTGATCTGCCCCGGAATTTGTTTTTTTACTTCAAATTGCACATTGCTAATCCATTGTGTGTGTGTGTGTGTGTGTGTGTATTTTATCTGACTGACTTGGTCAACTTGGACAATTAAGGTTACTACATAACTTTGGATTTGTGGGTTAGGTGTGAACGTGACTTTTTGGAAGAACCCTTTTGCCTTGTCCAAACCGACCCAAATTTTCGAGGATGACTAGTTGTTGGAAGTAGATTGATGGTATATATTCCCTATGTAAAAACTTTCAAATTTCAAAACATTCTGTTTTTCTTATTCTTGTACTTGCTCCTTCCACACTCCATGGAAGAGAAAGTTTGATGGATCCCACACCCGGCTCTCTTTTTACCATTTAGGGTTCGAATTTTGTATCACAACTATTAAAATAATATGAAGACCTTCTAACTTTCGACCATTCTATACTTTATCTTTAACGCTATAAATAACTATATATGATAATGATATATTTTTTTTAGCTGAAAATAACATTATAAAGTGTAACTGATGTAACTCATCCCATTGATGAAATTATTATGGCTAACAAAGCTAAAATTATTGATATGTTCTTAGGGGGACATGAAAGTCATTATCAGGCTCACTAGGACACAAAGTTGGACACACACAGTGGGCTCATGAATTATCCCATTTTTTAATTATGGTACTACTTAGCATTGGTTGAGACATCTTAATCCTTGTCCCCTATTTCTCTCTATGTACACACATATGTGTGTGTGTGTATATATATATATATACACACACAATATTTAGAGAGACTGGTGTATGGAACTAGGTCAAACATAAGACAGGAGAATCGTGAAGGCACGAAGGGTTGCCACTTGGAGGCACACTAGAAAAGGTCTAGATGATACCAAGAACTAAAAGTTCGAAGATATGACAAAGACTTTGTCTGATGATGATGACCTGGACAATAACAACATCTTATCGTGCACGCTGCGTTTCTTCTAACCTCTACTTACATCAACAAACCATACATACACACATATATATATATATATATATATATATATCTAGCCCACATTAATTAATTAATATTATTTTCAATCTATGGTATACTAAGCCCACAGAATGAAAACAATAGGAAATTTAAGGTTGAGAAATAGATGAAATAGTTTTAAATTTTGAAATGGCACCGTATAAGGTGGTGTGTGTGTGTGTGTGTGAACCAAAAGATGCATCTTTAGGGACCACCTTGGCAATGGCATGATTCTTGAATTTGGCCACCAAAATAATAAACATTATCTCATTTAAAATCTACAAGTGGGTGTCCATGATTATGTCCCCAACCGTTCACTCACAAGAAGCCTTTTATTTTTTAATTTTTCATTTATTTTATTTTCACCTGATAATATTATTAAAGAATGTCCAAGGTAAAAAATCTAGAGAGACGAGATGTGTTAATTTTTCAATTATTCAATCTTCAATTCAGTTTCGCAGACTATTAACAAATATCGATCGATTTTTAGATTTTTGTGAAGGTTCTTTGACCAAGTTTTAGCAAGTCGGTTCAATTGATCCAAACTAAAAGGCAACGAATTTTTCTCCAATTTAAATCTCATTTATTTACTTGTCGGTGTCAATTAGGTTTTGTGCGGGTCACCCAAGGACATCCATGAACACTCGGCTTTTGTTACAAGTCCTAGATTGATTAATTTCTTTAATTTACTAAAGTTTGGTTGATTACACTGGACGCACAACTTTTATTTATGTACTTTTTTATAACAGAAGCTACCTGATTCTAGAAAGCTTAGGAAACAAACAGGGAATAAAATTTATATAATAATTTCATATATATCAATAATATTATATATAAAAGGAGAAATCAAAGAGGACAGAAGAAAAAATTAAAAAAACCAATGAAACTATATTAAAGTGTTTCCATATTCAATAAGCAAATTGCTACAAAATTTCCCTAACGGAAAAGAAAGAAAATAAAAAGAATGGATAACAAAACATATAACAGAAAACCAAAAGGATGGTAGGATAGATTACACATACCAATTTTTGTTTGAGCTACTTTCAATGAAACATTTTTAAGGCTTTCCCAACCACATTAATTCTTCAAATATGGAAGATATACACGTATAGCAAGCACAAAAAGCACACGGGATATGACTATGACACGGATAGACACATCAAATTTTAAATAAGTAGGATATATCAATATGAATTTTTATTTATATACATGTATTGAGTAATAGTATTATAAAATTTTAATTCATTTCTAATTTTATATAAGAGTTGTAATAACTTTTATATCATAAATACCATTATTATACTATTTTATCACAATAGTATTTTTATTTTAAATGAAAAAAATGTCATTTAATGCTTAATATCAATTTTTGTTAAAAAAAAAAGTTAAAAACACTTTAAAATGTGTTCATATTATTTTCAAGATTATCGGGTAAGCTTGTATTAGAAATGTTTGAAAATGTCGGCCTAAGTATCCAAGAAGTATCGGCGAAATATCCCAAAGTGTCCGGAAAGTGTCCAAAGTAATAAAATTTTATTTTTATTTACGAACACAAAGTGTCAAACACGTGTCCGATGAGTGTCGTTATCCGACACAGACACCACACAGATACGGCTCCTTTGTTGGAGTGTCCGTGCTTCATACATAGGTTAGGCCATATTTAGGAGACAAAAAGGTTCAAGTTATACAAAATAGATAGTGTCTCACTAAGAATCTCAAAGCATATCTTCCAAAATTTGCAGCAAGCAAAACATTTCTCAAATTTGAAGCACTCAAAGTCATAAAAATAACATCTTTCTCAAACAAAACAAAACAAACCAAAACAAAATGCAACCAGTAGGTAAATGCCCATTTCTAAAAAGAAATCCTAAGAAAATATTCAAAAATCATAAAAGACGATAGGACACACACCAGAACTGTCTTATGAAAACCTAAAGGAGAGGCAGTAAGATCTATGAAATGCCATCAGCGCAACCTTCTGGCCTCCCTCTCAGACTCGAGAAGGGTGAGGACATCGCCCTCCCTGACGGGGCCCTTCACATTCCTCATGATATAACGGTTGAGATCATCAGTAAACCTGACTCTCACCTGAGTCACCTGCCCTCTTGATCCAGTGCGACCCATAACTTTAACTACTATAGCATGCTTGATCTGGGTATCCATTCTGCAAAAGTAGAGACAATTAAGATGGTAATCAAGGCGCACCCCCACACACGTGTGTGTTAAATGGGCAGGTCAACCTGCACACAACCCCCTCCTTTTGCACGTGTGGTTGTGGTGGGGGGTTGGGGTTCAGAGCTTTTGCCCTCAAACAAAGGGTGTTAAATCAGCAAGAGCTTGTAAATAGAAATTTCATCCTACAAATTAAATAACAATTTAAAATCTTTTTAAACATATGACGAGATTGTTAGGGCCATTATATACACATATATGCATATACAACGCATGCACACACTAGTTCATCACAACATACATATACGGCATATACCCATTATATATACTATACCCAGACATAGCCGGAAAATGATTTTTTTTTTTAATGGGGAAATGCACTGCTTGACATTGCCCAAACCTGTTACAGAATAAAACCAATAGCCAAAAAAGCAAAAAGTAAAAAAAGTAAAAATAAAATACATCAAAAAATTGAACTTAACCCGTGTAAATTGTCCTACATTACACAGCATGTTCTCAATGTACTTAAATACTAATTTCACAAATTGTTCCTTTCAGGCTAACTTGGCTAATTGTATGTTTATCTAATTTTGCACATTGTGTAAGAATCAAGGATATATGCATTTCTATTTTTGTATGATCATTTTGGATAATTGGAGAATTTTGATCTATATTCTGAAACAACTTGTTTTGCATGTGAATTTTTAATAACATTTCGTGATTAAAAAATTGCAACTGTCAGTTTCCTTTTCACTATAATCCTAGGATTTTTGCAGCAACATTGTTCGGTGAGAAAGTAACTGTGGCACCAGTGAAGCATAAAATGTGAACAAATGGGTGAGAAGAGACGAAAGGTTAAGGCTAAGAAAACAATAGCTTGTAACTGTCACTCCATACTGGGTTAGTAGAGAGAGCGATAGGGTAGAGAAAGAAAGTAGAGAGAGGTATGGATGGGTTAGTAATTAGAGAGTGTAGAGAGAAAAAGTAAAGAGGGAGGGTAAAGAGAGAAAATGGGATGTGGATAGGTTAGTACTTAGTATCAGTTGAAGAGAGACTGTGTAGGGAGAGAACGTAGGAGTAAGTTTTTTGATGTTTCTGTTTGGACGGGTTAGAAATGGGTACACGCTATGAACCCACTAATTATACTTTTTTTATATTATTATCTGACCTGTTTAATTAAATCACTCGCCCAATAACTCATTATTAGTGGGCGGGCTTGGGCAGGTTGGCATGTTTGGATAACTTTTCTCACCACTACATTGAATACAGGTGTAACTGAGTACTTTGAAATTAAAATTGTTGCTCAAAACAAAATAATCAGAATTTCATCTCTTCCAATGGACAACTTGTGTTGCGGTAAATCAGGCGAAGTATTTTCAAACAAGATGGAAAAACAGAACGCTACAATTAAAGAAAAACCGATCACTAAAGCAAAGAAAGTAACAAAAGTTTCACGAGTAGAGTACATTACACGACAATATCCCAACTGCGACAAGGCTATAACATTTCAAGATTAAGAGCTACAAATACACTGGTACATAATCTAAGACAAAGGCTTCTCATTAGGAAAAAAAAAAAAAAAAACTATTTACAAATAAAATGCCAGTATCTAGCATATAAAACACATTTGACGGTAATAGTCACTCTAAAACTAGGGCCAAATCATACTAAATATAGAGAAAAACAAAACCAACAAGCTTGATGACACATTAATTCCATGCTTCTAGCTGATTAACTTTTGTTCTAACTTACAAGGACAAATTAAGACTTCTACATTTAGTATCAATTAAATTCTATTTTGACTTGCTAAATAATTCATTTTTCTACTATTACACAAGTCTCTGATATGGTCAGAACAGAAAGAGGAGAGAGAGAGAAACACTCTTCATCTAGAGAGAGAGTGATGCTTACGATATGGTCAGCATCCTCATTGATTTATAAGATAATTGGAAGGCCCTTTAAGAAAGCAATATGATTTTTCAATTATGCAGATTCAGAACATAAGAAATTATCAGGAATTACATTTTGAATGGCGAGATTCAGGGATGAATCTCCAATGAAAATTCAAGATTCATCTCTGCAACTATAATTCATGCATCCATTGCAATGACTAATCTGAGTAATTTCTCTTTATGGTTTATCAAACATGCAGCTTTGCAACTGTAAAGATAATGTCTTCCTTTTTTTTGGATAAGTAATGTCTGTGTTTGAACTCCTACCCATCGGGTCAATACATCATCGACGAATGGTTGTCCATCATTACCTTAAAATACTTCACACGTCTTTTCTTCTTTTTCTTTCTTTTTTGGGTGTAGCAAGAAGGGCGTGAAAATAATTTTAGCAAAAGACTCTAAACATGGTTGTGAGAAGCAAAACCGCATAGAACACATGCTAAAACAATTTACAGAAGCAGTGTGGGAAGGAAAATATAAATTGAGGTTAAACTTATAATTAACAACAGACTGACAGAATTGCATTGCTGTAGAAACGTTAATTATGAATCGAAGTGAAATATCATAAAAAATTTGTAAGCTATAACATTGTATAACAAAACATTCAAAGCAAGGACTAACATACAGGTTTATTGACAAACAACTTTAAATTCAATTGATATGTTTATAACAAACCAAAGAAAAGCAATAACCAGACTAATGAAAGAACGGGTAAAATACTCTAGCAAAAGAGTTGAACCATTCCATTTTCTAACAGAGAACAACAAAGTTTACTCAAATTGAACACATACTATAAAAGCGCGCGCGCGCAGATCCATATCAAGTGCATTACCAAGGTGCTGACATGGAAAGAGGGGAGATAGACCAAGCATACACGACATGAAATACAGAACATACAAACACAGACATATACACACACACATTAGTGTGCTTGCATACATTTATTCACGTATTGATCCATGTGAATGTGTATATAAGTCTTGAATTCAATAAAGCTGGAAAGAAAGATACCTAAATACCAATAAATACCAATGTATGCACACATATACGTGCCGAGTATGTGAAAACATGCCTTCACATATAGACCAATACATCTAGACCAATACGAACATGCAGAGACCACACTTCAATAAAGCTATATGAAATAAAATTAGACTTCTCAATTTTATCAGTAAACTAGACCACGTGAAACAATCAGAAGCCAACCCGAGATGATATTTTTCTCCCTAATTAAGTTCAATTTGAAATTAACAATCTAATTGATACTACTACGTAAATGCTTTTTATATACAATTGATAATGAACAATTAGTTATATACCTTCCGTCTACCTTTTATTATATCTGGAATATATATGTGTATATATATATATATACAAATTGGTTTGTATACATTTTAAAATTCAAAGTACAATAGTATATACTTCACTTTTAAAAAATCGCTAATATGTGCATAGCACCGTAACAAGAATAACAGTGACTGTATTTTTCAACAGTTAAGAAGGATTTTCTTACGTTTTTTCATGATTTTCCAGGAACCAAACAAAAGAAATAGATAAACATTACCCTAGCATTAGAGAGAAAAAAATCCATGAAATGAAAGACAGAAATTACAGAGATCAGTGTTTATATATACAGCAAGAACAATAAAGAGCTGTCGAGATGAGAATCAGAACGAACCTTGGTTAGAGCGAAGAGAGAAGTGGAGGCCACTAAGAGTAGAGATCGCTTAAGTGCGTGCACAAAATCAGAGGAACCCTAATACGAATATTTATGAAGCAGAATTTGTTTCAATGACTATTTTACCCACGCATGAATTGTGCAGAAAACGCGGGGGCTTGTTAGGGTTTGAAAATATAGCAACCTAGGCCCAACTCTTCAGCCGAGTAGCTAGGCTTCGGTTAATGTGAAACTATGTTGATGTCCCAGGTTGGAAAATCAAGTTGCTCATGAATTGATCAGATGGGCTCTTCGGTGTAAAGAGTCCGATCTTGTTCCGAATGTTTAGCCAAACTGGTTGTTGGGTTTTTTTTTTTTTTTTTTTTGTTTTTTTCTTCTTCGTTGATTGCCGTATAACCTAGATACGAGACACGGACACAATAGAATACGGATATGTACACGTCAAATTTTGGAAAAGTAAGACACAACTATGGCGTGAATATTATATATAAATATAAATTTTTATGTCATTATTGTAATGAGAAATGAATTAGAAAATAAAATTATGTCATTATTGTAATGATTTTTATATCATATATATATATATATATATATATATATATATATACATTATTATTTTACTACTTTGTCATAATAGTATTCATATTATTTTCAATATCATTGTAAAGACTTGTGTTAGAAATGTTCAAGAAGTGTCGGCAAAGTGTTGACAAAGTATCTGAAAAGTGTCGGCGAAGTATCAAAAATAATAAAATTAAATTTTCTTTATGAACATGTATATAAAGTATCGGACACGTATTTGAGGAGTGTCCGTGGAGTGTCGCTGTTCAACATGGGTACGGCTTCTTCGTAGAAGTGTTCATGCTTTCTAGGTTGATTGTATCATCTTTTCTTCTTTTTTAATAAATTTTTATGCTTTTGGTTATAAATTAAAAATTAAAAATTTCATAATTGTGTTTTAAGTTTAAAATTTTAATTAATTTTTTTCCCATTTTAATTTTAATATGCGGATTCACAAGCTTTAATTTTACACTATTCAACTGAATTCAACAGACATATATGAATAATGAACAAACTTTTAAGAAATTAATTATTTAAAAATTAATATTGAGGAGGCCCAGAACGACATGGGCCGGATCTGACTTGCAAGCGCGACATCCGGTCCGTACAGCTGGGTCGGCCCATAAAAAGACACTGCCATATGGGCCGAACGCAAATAAGCCCATCAAAGGCGACCAGGACTTATGGAGGAACAGGCCCAGATCCAACAATCAGTAAATATCTTGTAAATATCTTGTAAATATCTATAAATAAGGGAAGGAATAACAAAGATAAAAAAATCTTTTTGGGTTGAAGTGTAAGAATTCTAGAGAGAGAAAGAGGGAATGAATTTCTTGCATCTTCAATTGGCGCCGTCTGTGGGAATCGTATGGAGGTTTGGATGATCAATGAGGAATATCGAGTGGATTCAGACCAATTCGGTTGATCGAGATTCGATCTTTGGGATTTGGATCCAGATCTGAGCGATTGTGACCTACTCTGGAGGAATTACAATTCTTGAAGCTTTGGCAGAAGTGGCTTCAGATCTACACAACAACGAGTTGTTCGATTGTGGCAGGATCTGACGGATTTAGAGTTCAGACAATTCAGATCTCGTAAACAGTGAGCATAATTCGGAGAATTCGAAGCCAGATCTGAAAAATTCCCACTCACGAAGCTCGGATCTACTCGCGAACTTGAGATTAATGCCTTTACTCCGTTCAGGAATAATGATAGGTGAAAGCTCCAATCCGATGGAGGCTGTCCAGCAAACAAAGCTTGAGGAGTTGATGAACTTGATTGAAGCTCTCAAAAAAGAGAATGCAGAATTGAAAGCTGGAATGCAACATCGGCAAATACCTGCGGTTTCGCATCCACTTCCGGTCGGTGAAGGAGGTGTTCAATCTAATATCGCGCGTCAAGGCGAGCACGACGAGAACAATCAGTCAGCTCACCATCGTGATGAAAGGATGATGGACAATTTGCCGCCAAATGTTCGTCGAATTGAGGATCACGAAGGATCGACTCACGTTGATCCGCGACATGAGCAGATTAGACGGAATGAAGCCATAACCTTCGATCCGCATCGGGAAAGGTTCGACCGAGAGGAAGTGATAGAGGTTGATCGCCGTCGAGTAGCGCCGCCTTGGCAAAGAGAGGTCGTAGAGGAACGGTCGTTCGATCCGTCTTACCGGCCCTCCATGGCTACTATCACTCATCGCGGTTCGGAGGGCAGAACCGTAACTCACAGAGCTACCGCTGGACTCCAGAGAGAGAATGAAGCTCTCCGATCCGCAGCTCGGACGGTTGATTCACCATTCACCGACGAGATCCTGAATGCCCCACATCCAAGGAAGTTTGCTATGCCAGTCTTTATTCTGTTTGACGGAACAACCGATCCGATCGATCATGTGTACCATATCCAGTTGAAAATGGCCCTAAATACGGAAAACGACTCTTTAATGTGCAAATGTTTCCCTACAAACCTAGCCGGACCGGCGCTCAGCTGGTTCAAAAACTTGCCTAGGAGCTCCATTGGTAGCTTCAGAAACCTGTGCGATCGGTTCATAAGCCAGTACTATGGGAACAAGCGCCCGCCGAAGGACATCTCGAGCCTATTCACGATGAGGCAGCACAAGGATGAACGTCTCCAGGCTTTTCTTACCAGGTTTAATCTCACTAAGAGTATGGTGATCGAATGCCACCCTTCTACAGCAGTTCAAGCCTTCAAGTTAGCTATGACACGTGGAACTCCGTTTCACACCAGTCTGGTAGTGAACACGCCGACTACTATGGATGAACTCAATGAAAGAGCCGATGGCTTTGTGCGCCTAGAAGAAGAGGAGGCAGCTAATGCTCGGACAACGTCGCTCGTGTCGACCGAGGAAAAGTCCAAGGCAAAGATCAGGCAGAAGCAGGCTCAGCCGCAACGTCAGACCTCTTGGAAGGCAGAAAAAAGGTCCAGGGAGGAAGAGCTGATTACTCCGCTGAAGGTCACTCTGGCGAGGCTGTATCAGGAGAACAAAGATAAGTTTCATCCACCACTGCCAATTAGGCAACCCCTCGAACAGAGGGATTAAACTAAACATTGTGCTTTCCATTCTGACTTCGGTCATCAGACTAACGAATGCAGGAACCTGAGGAGGCAAGTGGAGATGTTGATAGCTAGAGGGGAGTTCGCGAGTTATGTTCAAGGTTCGGCAATAGAGCAGAATCGACCGGTGGAACAAATAAAAAGGAGTCATAAACAAAGCTCCCACAATTCACAACCAGTTCGTATAATCAATGCTATCCATGGTCGACCCGAGCCTAGTGAAGAGTCAGATGAGCTACTCCGGGCGCGCCTGCGGTAGGCGCAGATGAAGAAAAGGGTCGGCAGTGTGAATACTCTACACCAGCAGAGCCCGTCGATGCAGATAAAGTTCGACTGGACAGACCTGCAGCGTATTCAACTGCCCCATGAAGACCCGTTGGTAGTCAGTTTGACAGTGGCAGACTGCTTGGTGCGCAGAGTTCTGATCGATCCTGGGAGCAGTGCGAATGTCATGCCGAGGGACACATTTGACAGGCTCGAGATTAAACCAGAGAGGCTCAAGCCCACTGGAAATCCCTTGTTAGGGTTCGATGGGAAGAGGGTGGAGCCCGTCGGGATGGTGGAAGTGGAAGTTCAAGCTGCAGAACGAGCTCTTATGGAAACTTTTGTGGTTGTGGAAATTCACCCCTCGTATAATCTCCTGATGGGAAGATGATGGATTCACAGAGTCCAAGGTGTACCCTCAACTTTGCATCACGTCATGAGGTGCCTCGGACCCGATGGAGATAAAGTGATAGACATTCGGGGGGATCAGGTTACAGCCAAAGAGTGTTATTCCGTCACACTAAAGCATGCTGGGAAAGGAAAGGCGCCCGTCCGTTCGGCAAGCCCCAGATAGCAATTACAGGAACCTCCGCCCGAGCAGAACAGGGTGGAGGAGTCAGTCGACTTGACCGAGGAGCCCCTTCTGGATGTGCAGATCGATCAGTCCAGGCCAGAACGAACTACCAGAGTAGGTATAAGACTGACCAGAGAAGAGCAGCAAGAGCTAGTGGATTTCTTGTCCCACAATGCCGACGTATTTGCATGGAGTCACCTAGACATGCCTGGAATTAGTCCCTCCGTATCCTGTCATTCCCTGAATGTCAATCCCAATTTCAAACCAGTGAAACAGAAGCAGCGAAGATTTGCTCCAGAACGTAATCAGATCATAGCGGAAGAAGTCGATAGGCTGCTTGATGCGGGATTTATCAGAGAAGTGCACTACCCTGATTGGTTGTCCAACGTCGTTGTCGTGCAGAAGAAGAATGGGAAATGGCAAGTATGCATTGATTTCACCAATTTGAACAAAGCCTGTCCGATAGACAGCTTCCCGCTGCCTAAGATTGATCAAATGGTGGATGCCACCACCGGGTATGAGCGTTTAACCTTTTTGGACGCTTATTCAGGTTATAATCAGATCCCTATGGACCCCGTAGATGAAGAAAAAACTTCTTTTGTCACCGAGCGAGGAACATACTGCTACAAAGTTATGCCTTTCGGACTAAAGAATGCGGGAGCAACTTATCAAAGACTTGTTAGCAAAATTTTTAAGAATCAAATGGGAAAGATTGTGGAAGCCTATATTGATGATATGGTGGTAAAGAGTAGGAAGAAGGATGATCATCTGAAGCATCTGCAAGATGTATTTGATGTACTGAAGCGATATGGGATGAGGCTCAATCCAACCAAGTGCTCATTCGGTGTGAGTTCCGGACAATTTCTGGGACACGTGGTCAACCGCAGAGGCATCGAAGTTAGCCCCGCTCAAGCAGAGGCTTTGATTAAGAATGCCGAGCCAAAGACGATCAGAGAGGTGCAAGCCCTCACAGGACGAATAGCTGCATTAAGTCGATTTATTTCGAAATTGTCTGATCATTGCAAGCCGTTCTTTGACACGATTCGGAGCCATGGAAGGCAGGTCTGGGGGGATGAGCAACGACAAGCATTGACTCATTTGAAGGAATATATGCAGAATCCACCAGTCCTGTCAGCCCCAGATCCGGAAGAAAAGTTATTTCTATATCTTGGAGTATCTGGTGTCGCGACAAGTGCCGTTCTGATTCGTTGCAAGGAGGGGGTGCAATACCCGGTATTTTATGTAAGCAAAACTATGACAGAGGCAGAACAAAGATACTCAAAGGCCGAACGAGTGGTACTTGCACTTGTAAATGCAAAAAGAAAGTTGAGGC